TCTCTCATCCCTTCAAATGATCCCCTGAACCTGGTCAAACGTCTGGCTGATCTGGCTTATCTCATCAGATCTTCAGCAAACCAAACCAAACCCCCTGCTTCACACCACCTCCTGCTCTCTCACCTGGCAGCAGTTTTCTTTGTGCTGCTGAACCAGACAATGGAAAAGAGACCTGAGAGCATGAGCTAGAGACCCACCAACATTATTAGGTGTGGAAACAGCTCTTGGGCACAACCAAACTCACAGATCAGCTATACATGGACAGACTTTCCAACACACGTGGACCTCATCCAATTTCTTGTGATGTGCATTTGTCAGGATTGCCCAAGATTTTTCACTGGGCTGTCAAAAAGGTTGATCAAAGCAGTGCCAGGGTGGGTGGGCTTGGAGGCAACAAGACACATCCTCAGCAATGTGAGCCCTCCTCTGCACGGGGCAGGAGCACCAGACCTGGCTTGACTGTACCAGCTGGACCTCCTCTGAGGTCTTGCAGAGCCAGATGATCCTGCAGAAGAATAACAAGGCGGCAACAGGTAGTTGAATGAATGAAGAAAGTAGAGCAACGAGTGAAGAAAGGAAGGGGCAATGGGACACGTCCCTCATGAGGTGATCACAGATGAAGCTGTCCCCACAGTGGTGTGTTTCTCAAGTGCGCTGCAGACCAGAACCGATTCATAGCTGTTCTTCAGAATACCCTTTTAAGTCAGGAAACAAGACCGTAAAGAAGATAAATTCCTGCTCAGGTGTCAGTCAAGAACCAAGGCAAAACAAAACAACCAAATAAGTACCTATTTTAATGCCAAGAGACCAGTAAATTCTTAAGTGTCAAGAAATTAAGCTAAATTTTTAGAAGTGACTCAAAAGATTGAGGTAACAGGAGCTCAGGTTGTGGTTTCCACTACATAATGGGAAAGCTGAAGTCAGGGACTGCTCCCAGCTGTCCTCTTCATACTCCCCACCCAAGAGAGGTGCCTCTGTTGCAGAGGCGAGGCTGAGCAGGACATCAAGACCCTTAGGTTCCTCCTTTTGGAGATGGGTTGTAGGTCCTTACATCTCCTAGTTGTGTATAAAAATACTTACCAAGAACCCAGACATGGAGTTACAGGGCAATGACTCACAATTGCCTGTTATTTACTAAATATTTTTATGGTGTACTAAGCACTTATTATCTCCTTCAGTACCCTCCAAGGGAATAGTTGCAAACACATTTTGAGAGATGGTGTCGGTCCCAAAACACTTGTAGTCTGGAGAGACAGGGCAAAGTGTGGAAGGATAAACAGCAGGGCAGAGAACTGATTTGCCCAATATCATGGCATTTAAACTGGGGCTGGCTCTCCTGATGCCCTGTGCCCTGTCTGACACTCAGTTCTGGGGCTCTATTATTTCTGGCTAAGGGAAAAGTCAACTGAAAAGCATGCCAGAACTCAATACCACCAAAGGATGGTAGGGGCTTTTATTTTATGCCTATTTCTAGGCGTAATTACTACAGAGAAACTAATCCTCAGGGTACTCTGCTCCATGAAAATAGGTTGGTTGCCTTTGATAGCCCTTTTATTTTCCCTCTTCTGCCACTGAGAAATGGCAGTTTGCTCGCACAGGATGGGAGATGCATTGCAACGGTGTTGGACGTAGGTCCTATTGCTGTCCCATAGGTACGAACTGTATATTCACAGTATTCCATCTCATTTGTGGCAGATGCCTCCCGTTTTACCAGACGGCGGTGGCGAGGCGTGCTCAGAGCACCGCGAGACCTGCAGACAGAAAGGGAAGGGGAGAGGATTGCATCTGCCGCCTGGAGACCTCGAAAGAGGCCCTGGAAACCCAGCACTAGAAGCTAAATCTTAACACCTGCCACTAAGAGCTCCCTGCTTTATCTATAATTGGAATATTTGTCCTTGAAGCAGCTCAGCTATGCCCCTGAGGAGGAAGAGCAGTGAGAACATCCGAAGGCGCTGTAAGAGCCAGCGAGCCGCAGGAAACACAAAATGTGTCTGTCTTAGGCTTTTGTGGTTCCTGTGACTTCTTGCTAGATGTTGGAAAGACAGTCAGGTTTTAAGAACAGCAAAGGATCCAGATACAAAATAAGTAAGAATTCAAGCCCTCTGCAAACCACCCGCATTTTAATAATGTTTATTCCTGTGAACAGGCAGCAAAGAGGGGAGGCACTGAGGGCTCGCAGAGGTATTCTAGCTGCTTGAACATGCTTCCTATGGCATTTACTCCTGCTTTCCTAAAGCCACAAATGAGTGTGGACGGGGAGAGGGGAGGGGAGTTCTTGTGGGAAAGGTGGAAGAGGAGCACCTTCGCCTGGTGGTGATGTGTAACCAGATTTGAGAACGGTTTCCCACCTTCGGGACTATTTTGAGGGTATTTTGTGCAGGCACAAGTATTTGTGCACGCAGCAGGCTGCAAGTTTAAGCTGGGGTGGAGTTTAAGGAGGGCCATCAAACTTCAGAGAAGCTGCATGTGGCTGTGGAGGGGTCTCTCCTGGGGGACTGGAGGCAGAGTATGTAAGGGTAGAATGTCTGTGTGGGTAGCAGACAGGTTTGGTCGAAATGAAGGCTTTTCTAAACCAAGGGGAGATGAGCTGAATCCCTCCAGTGAGTGCAGCGGTGGGGGCTGGATGAGCAAAAAGGCAAAATCCCTCAAAGGCTTTGCCCTCCACAACAACGGCCTGAACCCACAACATCAAACATTCGTCCCTAAGGCAAAGAGAAAAATGGTCATGCTGTCCCTTGGTGCAGACCACAGTAGATCTCCAAAATAGGTGCAAAAGCATCTGAGCAAAGAAACGGGGATAAATTCATCATAGCTGTTTAGCTGAGCTCCGGGCAAGGTTGGAACCTGAGGAAGGGGTGAAACCTTCTCTGTCCCTGGGAGATGAGCTCCTTCTGGAGACAGCAGGAGCAGCAGGAGTGGGCACGAGTGGACCTTCCCCAGCTCGCACCCCCTCACCGGCAAAGAAACCAGCCCAGCCCATCACCCTGCCGCTGCTGCCAGCCGCGTGCCAGCGAGCCTGCCCGGCCTTGCAGCCCTTTATATCATTTTTAATTAAGCTCGGCAAACCCGGAGCTGTTAGGACAGGATTCACGCCTCTGGTATTTGCTCTTGGCTCTGGTGGGGACAGGCTCTCGGCAGCTTTCGGGTGCTGGGGAGGGGCCTGGCACGCCACGGTGCCGGCTGGTTCACCAACGCGTGCCCGGCATCTCCACCAACATCCCGGTGCCTGGTTCCTGAGGGGTTACTCAGCCAGCCGGAGGAACAGGCTTCCTGAGGGCACAGGTTTGGCTGCTCCAAGTGTGGTCCAAGCAATGCTGGTAGCAACCCCACATACCAGTGTGGGGTGATGGGGTGGCTGAGGGGTAGGGTCCCTTGGGGAGGTGAGGGCATGGGCTGGCTCTGCTCGGCTTCCAGCGAAAAGCTGGGCTTTTGTAAATGGGTACAGCACCGTGGCAAAGCTATGACATGTCCCCCTCCAAAGAAGAGAGGTGGGGTTGCTTTGGTCCAGCCTGCTGTGGTGGTGGAGCACTTCCCCTGGGGTTTCCCAGCCAACCCCCGTGGCCCCCAGCGAGCCCCAACCCAGTGGGGAGACAACATGTCCAGACTCAGCATACCAGGGCATCTTTCCAGGCTCTTTCATGGGGGCCATACCTTCCCTCCCGTGCTGGCCCAGGCTGCCTGCCCACGCTGTCTCCAGCACTTCCTGCAAGCACCAGCGATGGTGCCAAACAGAGGGTGCAATCCCCCGGGGGCTCCGGAAAAGTGCATGGCACGTTCACAGAATCACAGAATCTTCATGGTTGGAAGGGACCTTTGAGATCATCAAGTCCAACCATACACAAAAAACCACAACAAAAACCTAACCCAACAACCTCAGGCACTAGAGCATGCCCTGAAGTGCCACGTCTACATGCTTCTTAAATACCTCCAGGGATGGTGACTCCACCACCTCCCTGGGCAGTTCCCAAGGAGGCTTGGAGGTACGCACCCAAGGGCAGCTTTCTTAGTGGACATCTCAACAGGCTGCAGCTCCAGGCTGGCTCTCCTTCATCCCAGGATGACGTGGAGTCACCCTGTGTTACTGTGTTACACCCTCCGGCATCTCCTCAGGAGCACGTTTCTTTCTACAGAAGAGAAGAATAAGGAATTTGCTTTGTTTCCATTAACCACAACTTTCCCCTTGCTTCTCCAGAGGCAAGATGTGTGTGTGACGCAGCCTGTGCTCCTGGACGAAGGGGAAAGGCATGTCTGCGGGGTGGGCTCCGGGACAGAAGGATCAAGCCCTCCCCAACCACCTGCGCCAGAAAATCTGGAGTCCTATTTGTAGCTGAAGTTAGTGGAGCACCTCCAGCCCTGTCCTACTCTAACTGAGATCCCACTTCAGCCTAACACATTCCCAAGCAGCCTCAGGTGCACCTCGGCACCGGGAGAGCATCCCAGTGCCTTCTTCCCTCCTGTGCCACCTTCACTCCTGCCCAGCTCAGGGTCTGTTTATCCCTTCCAGGGCTTTCAAGGTATTTCATTTGACTTTTTGTTGCCAGTGAAGGATTTACACTGTACTTGATGCAGTGATTCGGGTCTTAATTGTTTTCTCTTCTAGGAAATGGCTTCAAACTTTTATTGTCGTTGTAGTTTTAAAAGTCAAAAAAAGTTTCTTTCCCATCGTGTTTCCTCCCTTCCCCAAAAGAAATGTCATTTATAGGTCTCCGGTGTCTGTACCCAGAGTTTTAATTGCTTGTGGGAACTTGTCTGTCTACGTGTGTGTCAGCTGTTTTATACCAGAATCGGAGGTGTATTTAAAGAAAGAAAGAAAAAGAAAAAAAAAAAAAAGATGAAAGAAAAAAAAAAGATAAAAGAAAATGGAGCGTAATAAAAAATATAGCTGAAGGGTTTTGAGCTACGGTATCTCCATATCAAGAAAAGTTACATCACCGGTGAAAACATCAGATACAGTCTTGCAGCTCTGCTGTCATTATCCTTATTAGCAGTGTTGTTATTACCCCTGGAAGAAGCGTGAGCTCAGGGCCATGGAAGCAGAAGGGCCACGTCCTGCAGCGTGGGTGATGTGGGGCCTGACCTCGACCAGCAACAGCAAACTCCTACAGAAGAGACAAAGGAGCATTTTTGGTAGCTGCCTTTTTGGAAGAAGTGGGTGGGGTTTTTTTTGCAGGGGGAAGGAGTGCTTTAGAAAATCCTTTTGCTTCTCTCGCACGCTGTGTCCAGCTTCTCCTCATTCCACCTGGTGCTTCTCTGCTCTGCCTCTGGGGACCCGTGTCAGGAGGGCAAACCCTGCCCCTTCACCTTAGAAATGACCCCAACCACGGCGGAGCAGCTGGCATGAGAAACTGGGCAGGTTCCTGGAAAAGAGGGAGGTTTATTTTTTAAATCTCTCCCCTAGAGGGAAAGCGTAGCCCAGCAGAGGTCTGCCCACAGGAGGGGCACACGCTGAGTCCACCTTCGCCTTCAGCCACCAGCAACCACCCAAGAATGCCACGCAATCCTCCCGCTCTCCCAGGGACCCTGAAAAACTTCAGTGCTTACAGAATCACGGAATCACATGGGGTTGGAAGGGACCTCTGGAGGTCATCTAGTCCAACCCCCCTGCCAAAGCAGGTCCACCCAGAGCAGGTTGCACAGGAACATGTCCAGGCGGGTTTGGAATGTCTCCAGAGAAGAAGTGCTTGGTTTAAAGGAGATGCTTAGGTCCTGTATGTACCAGAGGAGAAATATAGACACCTCTGGGAGGATGTCTCACCCTAAGGGGAATAATGAGAGGAAAGGGCTGCTTCTGTTTGGAGGCTCATAGTTCATCAGTGATAGACAGCAAAGTTGACTCAATGTGTTCCCTTTAAAATTGGCTATCCCAGGCAGGTTGTCAGAATTAAGTCTGACCAAAGGTGGATATTTTTGTTAACAAATTATATTTAAAAAAAAAAAAAGCCAATCCCCTTTCCTAGGAAGCCACCCACTTTTTGCATGCCAGCTGCTCCACTGCCTGGAAGCTTTCCAGACAAAGCGTAAAAAAGTTTCTGGATGGGCTGCAAATTAATTCAGCAGCAGTTCATTTGTTTCCCTTAACTGCATGTACCAATTGCAAATAAGGTTAACAGATGATATTTGCTACTTAGAATAGTTTATAAAACACTACAGGAATTATTTATAGCCTGCCTTCTCTGCATGTATGGAGATTTGATAGGAGGCTCAAGAAATCAAGCTCTCTAGCACAAGTTAAACCTCCTCTTGTGAAAGTTTCATAAATTACCAGCGAGAAAGAACACTGTGCAGACATACACCCTGCCAGCTGGTATCCTGGAAGACGGGTTTGCCACTTCATCAGAGAGAGGAATCGCACCAGTTTTCACAACTAAACAAGAAAACGGAGGAACTGATGTTCACGTTGTTCTGGACGGGCTGGGTCCTCTGCTGCTCTGTGCTGCTGGAGCTCCACTGCCATCAGCGGTACCACCACAGTCTGCGCACGCCTGGGGATCCAAATCACAAAAAACACAAGAAGGGCATTAAATTTTAACGCCAGCATTTTATCAATAAGCCTCCGGATAAAATCCCTGCAGTCCTCAGTATGCAGTCTCATTTTTAGATAGCACCAACACCCCGTTAGGAGATTAATATGCATACATTTCCATAAGTGTGTGTATGGATGCTAATACATTACACACATTACAGCCAGCATGTTGACAGAAGTGGAGTATCATAGGTCCAATCAGCATTACTGGCTCCATCAACTCTTCATCAGTAATGTCTCTTCACCAGATCAACCATTTCCTCTTAAACCATGTTTAACCCCTGAGACTTCATCATTACAGGATAATGTTGGATGGAATCACTGCAATTTACCAGCTGGTCACATAAGAAGCTGGAAAAGTCCTTCTGCATTTCAAAATGAGATGTACCACTTAGGTGTAAAAATGCTCCTGAGGTGCACCTACAGCACCATAAAAGATTAAAATGTCAGCCTTTCTTCAGCCTCAGAAAGAGGAAAGTTTATGCCCCCAGAGACTGCTGAACAAGTTCCGTGCTGAAGAAGCCCTTTGGAAATAAAACAAAACAGAAGTGCCTGTGCTAGCAAGACTGTGATTTTTTTCCATGGAGTCTACCAGCATTTGTGATAGTGCTGCCAATTTAGCTCTCCTCCTCCAAAGGTCTGGAGCTATTGAAGGTAAACCTGGTTTGCCTTTCTCCTCCATCGTGCCTGTGAAAAATGGTGACCCACTTCTCCAGGAAAAGCTTGCAGGTGACAGGTGAGGTGACCATGAGGCCTTCAGATAACAGGCTGGAGATGGCTACAGATATTTCCAAAGGGATAAGCATCATCTACGAGTGAGCTCTGTGCAGTGAGCAGCAAGTACAAGGCATCCAGTACGTGTAAGGGCCAGGAAGTGCCTGGCGCTTGAAGAATTCGTGTACTCATTGTTCACATGAACATTGAGTCCCAGGGAGCCTGGACACCCAGAAACAAGACAGGCACTGCGGGCGTTTGGGGACCAGCCATATCGCCAGGATGACTTTGTCAGAGTCAAATAGCACTTTGTTTGAACTGAGGGTCTCTTCAGCTTGCAGAATCATCGCTTCTCATTTCCTCAAGTCCTCTCTAGTTTGAATGATTGGAGGGATGAAGTGGGATTTAAACACATGGCTCTTGACTTCTTTCAAAGTCGGACAAAACAGTGCTCACTTCCCTGCACTCCTTCAGGGAGCTCCTGTCCAACAGGAGGCATCTAATGACCTAGTCCATAGGGTTCCCTTGAGATACTGTTTTGGCTTCAGAGACTGAATGAAAATTTTGTTCTTGTACCTTCTGTGGTTGAAGGGCTTGGCATCAGTACAGAGATGGGAAGTACAGGGGGCACTACTGTCATTCTGTCTGAAGGATCAATAGCAATTTGAATTTTGAAAAAGCAATTTTGTTTTCCATCCCAAATTCAAAGATCCTTAACTCTTTCCAAGACATTTTCTCACACCCCCAAACCCTCTGCCTCTCCCAATACTTTGCCATTCAACCTTGGTATTTCCTTAGGTGTCATCCTCATTCCTGGAGTACAGGAGGACTGGGCTGTGAGCCCTGCCTTCCCTATGTGGCTGTGGCCCATGGGCATTCAGGCATGGCTTGCTAAGGTCCCATCACTGAACACTAGTGTGGAGGGATGGAGGCCTAGAGATGACTCAGAGGGCAGGGAAACTCCATGGGCTCCATCTTTGTCTTTTAAGGTATCATCTCTCCCATTCCCTCTCTCTGCTCAAGGCCACTGGCCTCCAGAGTTTGTCAAAGTCTTGGTCTCAGTGGTGGCAGAGATGACCTAGGGCATCCAGTTTGTTTCAGCTTCCTCTCATCAAGGCTGCTTTCTTTCTACTGTTTCTCCCATTTGTTGAAGTGCAGACCCTCTCCTCCTTTCCCATCCCACTCATTGTTGGTCTGAAGTCACCAGATTTCTTGCAGGTTGTACTGCTGACCCCAGGCCACGGCCCTCAGCCCTGAAATAGGAATGAAATCAAATGAGAACTCTGACCAAATGCAGTGTGAACTGGCAGTAGGCAGCAGGACCTTTCTGAAAGAAACCTGGCCCGGTGGGAATCGGTGCTAACATGTCCCCTTGAAAAGCCTCCTCTCGGCCAGAGCTTGCAGAAGTCATGCAGACTGGATGGGATTTCCAGACAAAGGCTGCACAACACCCAGATAGTGAAGACTGTTGATGGCTTCTAGGAGGGGTTGAAAACATCATCAGCACGGCGTAATTATTCGTAAGACGGGCCAACTTCAACACTCAGCATAATACAGTTTTAAACAATACTTGATGAAAATCAATTTCCAAGTCTGTTGAGAGGCTGATAACATCCCCAGTTACATTGCTAGTCCCACTGATGTGCTCATTCTCAAGTAATCATATTAGAAGCAGACGTCGCACAAGAATGCGACTCCACTAACCATTAAGAGACACTGAGCTCCTTTGTCTTCTGAAGCAAGTTTCCATGGAATTATACTGGGTAGAATAATTTAATATTAAATAAACAATAACAATCCTGAAGTCGTTTAATGGGATATTCCTTTAATCTTCCTTGTATGGAAGAATCCAAACTAATCAGGGGTAAGGCGACACTTCTCCCCAGGGGTAAATGGCCGTGAAATCCTAGCTCACATCCAGTTTCTGTGGGACCTGGACATTTAGTGGTTGCTGGTATCTTTGCAAATCTCTCTCCTAGGTGAAATTGCACTCTCCCGTTCTCCTGCCAAGAAGCAGTAGTTATTTTTGGTTTTCAGGGGGGCTTTCTTTTCCTAGATGAGAATATACAGATATTCTCATCGCTTTAGAGAGGCTTTCAAAACCCAGGTGCAGAGCTCTGGCATCAGCAACCTCCCCAGAGCATTTTATAGCACATAAATCTTGCTCCCAGTTAATCAAACAGTGCTGGAGCAAGCCAAGGAACTATGAGAACGTAAACCACGCTCCCCCTCCCTTCCCACTTATCAGAAGTTGCTGCTGCTTCTTCAGAGGCAGAGTGAATAAACCATGCTCCCCCCTCCCTTCCCACTTATCAGCAGTTGCTGCTGCTTCTTCAGAGGCAGAGTGAGAGGGGGGGGATTTGCTTTAGACGTGACTCTAACACTGGTAAGGTTGCTGACTTTGTTGGACATGGGCATTTTCTCTCCATAGAAGATATTTTTGTTTGCTTGCAGAATTGCCCTTGGTGGGCCAGCTGCTCTTCTGCCTTCACCCAGCTCTGGGGAGGGGGGGATTTGCTTTAGACGTGACTTTAACACTGGTAAGGTTGCTGACTTCGTTGGACATGGGCATTTTCTCTCCATAGAAGGTATTTTTGTTTGCTTGCAGAATTGCCCTTGGTGGGCCAGCTGCTCTTCTGCCTTCACCCAGCTCTGGAACAGGCCCATTGACTCTCACCTTCACAATGATTTCTGCTGGCCCTAACCCCAGTTTGAGTTCTCAGCAAGGCTGGAACTGCTTTGCAGTTGTGATCAGGGACAATCACAACCGTTCCTCCCAGCCAAAGGCTTAGCTGGGCACGTGGCTGCCTTCCCAGCACTGAAGCGGAGCAAAATGCAGTGTTGTGAATGGGATAACGTGATGACCCTTCTGTTGAGGCTCTTTTGGTCCTCTGTGCTTCCAGGGTGCATGCTACAGGACAACTCCGGGTGCATGGCTTTTTGTTGATGAAGAGCTTTGCAAGGGTGGGAGAGGAGGTGCCACCATGGAGGCCATTCTTTTCCCATCAAAGGCATCTTTGAGCTACACTCCCTTTTTGCCCAAAGTTAATGCTGCATGTGCCAGACTAGTTTACAGCCAGTGATGCACAACTCCAGCTGAACCATGTAGAGCCAGAGGAGAAGACTGTGCCTCCAACCTGTTAGGATATCAGAACTAGCATCTGACGCAGGGACTGCTTTTAGAGGTTTATTCAGCCTCGTGCTTAACTGAAGTCCTGGCTTTAATCTACAATGGCATCTTGGTTTGTCTTCATGAAGTTATGCCAAAAGTTCTTCACTGAAAAGAACAGCCCAGGATTTTCTTTCTTTGCCTTCAAGTTGAGATGAAAAGGACTGCCTGCAGCCTGAAAATTTGTTTCCTTAAGGAAACGGGAAGCAAAGAAGTTATGTTAATGCTTCGTATCAAGCACCTTTGAATTTCAAGGGGTAAAAATTAGCCTTGACCCTGCTGTTGCACCTAGGTTTTCATAACCTTTTTTCCCTCCAAGGTCAGTCTGTCGCGTTTCTGCTTCAGTCTGTTTGAGTTCTGGTCTCTTAGCACTGATTTCTGTGTGCAAGACATGGAAGCCCCACCCCAGTGCATGCTACTCCCAGGCATTAACAGCCTTGTGCTAAATAAACACACAAAGATACTTCTGCATCTGGTTTTATTGGCAGCAGAAAGAGACATTATATGTCTCTGGAAATCTGATAAAGCACTGACATATAAATGCTGGATTTAAACATTGCCAGTTTAACTCCACTGGACTGAATTTGCTGCAATGATTAGGGCTGAGAATAAGATTTCTCACTTTTCCTAACCACTGTAAATCATACAATTTTAAAATTAGTATTTGGCAATATCTACAACTTTCTACCAGTAGACAATAACCTCTAAAATTCTGCTTCTGCAGTCTGACACGCTACTATAGGGTAACGACTTCTCATTTGTTCTGCCTTATTTGTGCATCATTGCACACGCCTGTCTTTCTTCCATGAATATTTCAAAAAGCTGGATAGTTGCTTGGTAAAAGCCTGGGCTGGTGCCTGAGTATTGTGCAGCCCATACCAAACTCTGCCCCAAACTTCCTGTGTGACCTCAATAGGTGATTGTATTTCTCCCATTTCTCAATTTACCATCACTGCAGTGTGCATTTCCTTTCTTCTCTACTTTGTCTCTAAATTCCTCGAATTAGTAAACATCCCTCTATACATGCATCTTTATACAGGGTTTACTGCAGATCTTATTTCAGTTTTCAGATGCTA